TGTTTATTAAAAGATTTGCGGTATTCTATTTACAAACAAGCGATGTCGAAAGATCAGATAAAAAGTTACATTTTCATGAAAGCCAATCAATGACTTATTTTTAACTAGAAAGATAAGGAACCAAATTTAGAGAGATAAGGAACTAAATTTAGAGAGATAAGCAACCAAATTTAGAGAGATAAGCAACCAAATTTAGATTTGTCTAGTCTATTCTAGTCAACAACGTTTGCGATGGACTTCAATGTTGTGTAGGTCGTTTTTTACGTTGTTACGCGCGGATTTGACGTTCCTATGTCATGAGTGTTTATTAAAAGATTTGCGGTATTTTATTTACAAACAAGCGATGTCGAAAGACCAGATAAAAAGTGACATTTTCATGAAAACCAATCAATGACTTATTTTTGGTGGAAGTGTCGACCGGAACGACACTCCCACCTTTTGGCCTGATCTGGGTCCCGGCCGGAACGACACTCCAACCTTTCGGTTCGATCTCGGCCCGAACCGAGACCGAACAACGTAAAAAAAACAACCTACACCATCGGAATCAGCCTTTAAATGTAAATAAAAAGCTTAGAATACTAAAACTGGGTATGACCTGGGTGATGGGTGTGTGGTTGTGCGTACCTAGTGAGGTCATGGGTATGAGGTCCGACTCTCACTTTCTGGAACATGGCCTCTGCAGATAGTCTCGGATTTTTTTCAATCCCGGGTTTAATCACTTTAACTTTAACTCCCGTAAGCACTCTAATAAAGTCCGTTTCATATTTCTGTATCCAGCCCCCAAAAAGAGATTTTATGGAGAGTGGGTGAAGATATCGAGCTATTTTCTTTTGCAAAAGAAAGGTCACATCGTAAAACCCTAAAAACACCTTTTTTCGGTTACTGGGTTTTCTCAACAAAAAAAAAACGAAGAAACGAATTTTGCGACCGGCTAATAACTTGATAAATTCGCTTATTCATGCTTTTGATAAGGTTTTGGAGCGCCGTGGCGCCAATACGATTCCAGGTAATCTGAATTGATGCTTTTAGTTCCGAAGCGGTCGTAAATTGGCTCTTATGTTTGCAAGCATCCCTGACAAGGATGCCCCACGGGTTTTCAATGGGGTTAAGCTCCGGGGATTGTGCTGTACTCTGAAATAACGGTTTTTATTTAGGTAAACTTTTCTGATGAAAAAAATGGAACCTTGACGGACCAGACGGTTTTTCGCATTACTGGAGAGACTTGCGACAGGATCCACTGATATTCGGAACACGTAACTACGGAGAAGAAAGTGTGATGTGTTGGGCAGCCTTTTGCGCCAATGGAACGGTTTGAAATTTGTCTCGAGCAAAATGAACAGTCAAGATTATACTGAAGTGCTCAAAGATACTCTTCTTCTTCTTCCATTCATTCAGCACGCGACTGCCTACACTTTTCAGCATGACAATGCTTCAATTCATCGCTCCGCTCATACAAAAGCCGGGTTGACTTCGCAGGGAATCAACATCTTCGACTGGCCAACACGATCCCCGTATCTTAACCCCATTGAAAACCCGTGGGGCATCCTTGTCAGGGATGTTTACAAACATCAGAGCCAATTTACGAATTTTGTTTACAAACATAAGTTATTAACCGGTCCGATGCTATATCAGATTATTAGTTGTTATGTTCACAATTCTTGATGTCTTTTTTATTTATTGTTAATGCTAAATAAATGTGATTTTCAAAATTCCTAAGGGTGGATAAAGAAATGTGAAACGGTCGCAGAATCTTCTTTTTTAGTTTTTTTGTTGATAAAATCCAGTAACCCAAAAACGGTGTTTTTAGGATTTACAATGTGGCCTTTCTTTTGCAAAAGAAAATAGCTCGATATCTCCACCCATTCTCCATAAAACCTCTTTTTGGGGGTTGGATAAAGAAATATGAAACGGACTGTAGAAGTACACCTTTAATAAAGTTGAATTGAAGAATATTCAGATAAAAGCCTTGTTGTTTCCCAATCAAAATCCATAAAACTATCTATTTTTTGATCTTTTTATGTATTAAAGATCAACTAGTTCATCTTTAATTGTATAAAAATACAGTTTTTAGTGATGTTGATCCCAGAATACGGAGATCTGGAGAACCAAAAATTTGTGTTGCTTTAATACATAACAATTTCTTACCTCTTTCAAAATTCAAGCAAATAGCAAACTTTGAGCAAGCTTTGAGGTAGTTAATAAATAATACTTTAATTGAAATAGGTTATAGATCAATTAGAAAGGAAAAATTTGAAAATATTGCACTTCAAAACAAAAGAAGACTTGTTTGAACCCCTGGAACTATGGCTTATCACTTTAGGAACTATGGTTTTGGAAAACAAATGGTAGAAACTAGAGAGATATGAGAAAAAGTTGAAAAGTGTTGACGAGAGGGGAGAGCATCATTTTGTTACCCTTTATCAGCCCTTCTCTTCAGTCATATTATATAAATTAATCCTTTTATATTAATCCTATTATTAGGTTGAGGGAAAAAGTAATGTCAGTTTTTGTCGCAAAACTGTTTATTGCTAAAAACATAAACAAACGCACATCAATCAATGAGATATTCTCAATTGTTATCGATGTTCCAATACGGTTCCAAAACGGTTTCCTATTTTGATCTAATACTTCCAGTACGTTCAAAAACGGTTCCAATACGGTTCCTATTTTGATCTAATACGGTTCCAATACGGTTCCAATACAATTCCAATACGGTTCCAATACGGTTCCTATTTTGATCTAATACGGTTCCAATACCATTCCAATACAATTCCAATACGGTTCCAATACGGTTCCTATTTTGATCTAATAATACTTGTTCCCATCTTTTTCGCAAATCCCTGATCACATCCTCAAAAAAAAATGGGGAGTTTCCAAACTAAAATAAGTGTCGACTGCTTTTTTTGATCTGTGCATGATTCTCGAACTTTTCTCCCATAAGAAAACAACGACCGAAACAAAAAATAATCTGATGGGGTCAGGTCCGGACCAAAAGATGCGTGGGACCGAAGTTCCCAACCAAGCTCGTCGATTTTTTGGTGAGTGATTTTTGCAGTGTGAGGTTTTGCATTATCATACAAAAATAGGACTTCTGATGTTCAATGTTCAACGAGTTTCAACGCCCAATTTCTTTAAAGCCTCGTTAACTCTCATCAACTATTTTGAATAAAGATCAGCGGTGACAGTTTCGAGTGGTAAGGGTTGGATTGAGTTCAATGGCATCATAGATGGTTAGACATTCTAGGTGATCTGGTAGAGGGTTACAATAAATCTTTTCATAGAAGTATAAAAATGACTCCAATTGAAGCTTCTAAAATAGGAGATAAAGCTCAAGTCTATGAAAATCTTTTTCCTTCGCAGGAGAAAAAAAATGAAAGAAAAACCAAACTTCAAGATTGATGATACTGTGAAAACAACAAAATATAAAGCTATTTTCGCTAAAGTTTATTTGCCAAATTGGAGTACCGAAATGTTCAAAATATCCAAAGTTCATGATGATACTTCACCAATTACTTATGAAATTGTAGACTTAGGAGGAGAAGAAATTAAAGGAAAATTTTTATGAAGAAGAGCTTCCACTTTTCGACAATGTTAGTCAAGAATACAAAAGTGAGGCTATTTTAAAACATCGAAATAGAAAAGGAATCAAAGAAATATTTGTAAAGTGGTATGGATATCCTGATAACTCTTGGATTCCTGATAAGTTTAACTCCTGGATTCCTGATAATGCAAAAATAGCACTTCTGTAATGGACGAATGTAATGGAAAAGCAGCAAGAATCAGCATTGGCAAATTGGCATCAATTTTCAGCATCAATTGGCTGGCTGTTGTTCCCAATTCGATGTTTTGTTGGAGGAGTTAGCTTTGGCTTTGGGCCCATTCGACGTCTAGGAGAAGAAAGAACTTATTTCTTTGAAAATATCGATGAATCACCCGATCGTTGTGACCCAAAATACCCGAATTTTGATCGATTTATTGTTTTGATCGATTTCTTATTTTGATCGATTCCTTGTTTTGCAAATGCGTATCGATTTGTCCTTTTTCGTAGTCTTTCAGCTGAATAATGTGAAACACCGTCCGCCCCATCCAGATTGAATTTTTTCTCATCGCTGAAAATCCACCAAACACAAAAAATAGCTTAGAAACTACACCAAAGCCTTATCTGAACAAAAACGTCATTCATGTGCACTTTGGCAAAGTCCAAATGGGCCTGTTTGTGTTCTGGCTTCAAGGCTGGCTGCTTATTGAGAAGTTCTCGATCAATGTGTGAATTTTCTTTGACAGCTCGCCAAATAGTCGTCTTAGATGCGTCAATTTTCAGCTTTTTTTCTTGTTTTCTGAAATTTTTGTTTGTTATTTGTTTTCTCGTTTTTGTTATTATGGCAAATTTTAGGGTACAACAAAAAAAAACGAGAAAAACGAAGGAAAATCGCCAAGATGGTCGCCATTCTTATTCAGGACTTCTTTCCACCGCTCAACAAGCTTATGAATTTCATCTTCATAAAATTCTTGGGGCATCGATAAAAAAAAGTTGTCCAGCCAAAGTTCGAGAGCGACATCCGTCTGAAAACTCATACCTTGAAGCGCATTTGAGAGAGAGCTAGTTTTTTTTTTGCTCAGCGAGTTCCCGACTCGTTTGTCGAGGATCTTCTTCAACCAAATCAGCAAATTTGTCTTCGTCGATTTCCGATGGTCTTCCTGTTCTTGCACTATCGAGAAGTGAGAAATTTCCCTTCACGAAATCGTTGAAACCAATTCTGGATAGTTCCAATTCTGGAGAGTTTCGGCTTTAAAATTTTAGGGCTTCTTTTTGGGGACTGTTTGAAATGAAAGAGTGAAGTGGTGGCCGAGAGGATGGTGGCCAAGTTTTTATCAGTTTCTAATCAGAGAATAGGGAGATTGATGAAAGGAATCAAAGACAGGGAAAAACTAGACGACCCCGAAACGGAACCCCCATCTAATCTCTCGATGAGCCTGTGCGGCATTGAGCTTTCGGTTGAATGCATGCAAAAATAGGTGTCGCTGGTGCTGGTGTCGCTGGTGCTGGTGTCGCTGGTGCTGGTGTCGCTGGTGCTGGTGTCGCTGGTGCTGGTGTCGCTGGTGCTGGTGTCGCTGGTGCTGGTGTCGCTGGTGCTGGTGTCGCTGGTGCTGGTGTCGCTGGTGCTGGTGTCGCTGGTGCTGGTGTCGCTGGTGCTGGTGTCGCTGGTGCTGGTGTCGCTGGTGCTGGTGTCGCTGGTGCTGGTGTCGCTGGTGCTGGTGTCGCTGGTGCTGGTGTCGCTGGTGCTGGTGTCGCTGGTGCTGGTGTCGCTGGTGCTGGTGTCGCTGGTGCTGGTGTCGCTGGTGCTGGTGTCGCTGGTGCTGGTGTCGCTGGTGCTGGTGTCGCTGGTGCTGGTGTCGCTGGTGCTGGTGTCGCTGGTGCTGGTGTCGCTGGTGCTGGTGTCGC